ATGCCTGCTGAAGTCACTGAGGAATTTTGATATTACTGTGCTGATGGACAATAAACAAAAGGGAACTATTCATTAGAAACATGGAGGAACAAAAAAGCCAGTTGCCAAATGGAGCAGGGTAACTCAAGGAATACAGTTCTTTTCAAGATTCAAAGGACTTTGGGTTTTTGTTGTTTTCTTAAGGTAATAAAACAGTTGACTGTGTCCCTATAAAGAAGCATAGTGACTTGTTCTTTAATGGGGGGAGAATCTTTTTCTTTTTAATTCCACATATTCAAAGTTTTTTTATAGATTTTGTGAACTGGTGATGGAATTTGATTTAAAGGGACACTGTCAACTTCATTAGGCTTCAAATTTTACCTTTTTCCAAAAACAGGTAAATGCCACTTGGTTTTCTTGTTTGAGACTTGTTTCCAGCATGGCTTTTAGATGTTTGACAAGAAGAGCGGGATAGAAGCTTGAAGAAAGGGAGGGAGGAAGGGGATTGCAGCGACTTAAACTCTGTGCTGGTTTTTGTTAATATTGGGGACTTTTAAAATAGTGTTCAAAGACTTGTTTCTTCCTTGCAGTCTTCTGGGTAGACCTCTCTTGTCTAAATTATCATATAGCCCCAAACTTCTGTTGAATCTACTACTTTAAATTGTAAGAAAGTACAAAGAAACCACCTGTTACTCTCACTTGCATCTCAGGTAATGATGCTTTCAGTCATTAGGAAAAAGTTCATCCCTGCTAAATACTGAAGTTTTGAAGGAGGCAAGAGGAGGAGGTTTTTGTTTGCTTTTACGGAATTCTGTGCTGATGCCTTGTCCGTGAAGTCAGCATTTCAACTTTTTTTTTTGCATGAATGCCTAAAAGCAAGCAAACAAGGTTGCATGTTATTAACACTTTCTTCTTTGTTGTGCACACGTAGTACTTAACATACTGTGCAGTGCAGTTTTGGCACCATCTAAGATCCTGTCTTGTCTTTAATCTCAGAGCTGTCTGGAATTCAGCCTAAGGATTCAGGAGTTCATTGAACTCATTCGACAGAACAAGAGACTGGATGCTGTGAGGTATGAAATTAGGATGCTTACCAAACAATTTTCTTAACAGGATGGTCTTATGCTTCATTAGAAACATGTGACTATTATTGCAATGCCCAGAAGCCCCACTGCTGTAAAGGATCTTGCTAGCATTGTGATCAGTCTTTGGATTTAAGCTGGGGCTGAATTTTTTTAAAAGCAAGGTGTCATTCCACAGGTGCACCTTTTTAAAAACTTAATAGTGTTGCTGAAACTCTGCATCTTCTTACTTTTCAAAATAAAGGTTTAGGAAATTAATCTGTTTTTATAAAACAATTGTATTTTCTGGTGGCATGTGATGCAATGAACATATTTAACTAATTTTCAAGAGGTGCACCTAGCTTCTCATAGGAACCCATTACAGTTTTAATCACAAAAAAAAGTACTAAAGGGTTAATGTAACACCCATCTAAAGCTTAACATTTCAATTTTGACTGAATTCTCTTCTGCTTTACTATCTTCATTAAATTCTTTGTTCTATAAGTTATGCTTTAGGCCAGGTTCACATTTGGTATTGAATGGATAATTTGGAGTTCTGTATTGTCACGTATGTGAGAATAATGAGCTATGTTATGTTACTCCCACTTCCTTCCCCTGGCCCCAAATGAAGAAACCAACTCAATATCCATTTTTACTTCTTTTAAACTAGTTCAGTGGGGACTACTTTGAGAAGAAAGTGACACTGCCCGAGGTGTGAATCAGTAACAGAACTAGTCAGACCTAATCACTGCCTGACTTCAACCACAAGACAGTCTTTCTGGCAATACAATATCAACACAGGAAGCCATTTATGCTTTCAAGTTAGTGGTCCTGACTTAAGGTGCTGGGATAATGTTCCAGGATAACGCAGGAAACCAGTTCTGCTGAAATGAGTGGAATTTTGATACTGGGACTATAAAATGTGTTGATAATTCTGATAAGCAGGGATCTTGCTAGCACCACAATGCATGATGCAGGTGGCAGAGCTACTGGAGCTTACACATGGACAAGGGAGAGAGGAAGTCACAGCAGGTTCTGTTTTGTAAGAATATTTAAAACTAGGGAGAGATGATAAGTTTTATGGCCAGACTTGAAGCTTTGCTGATACATTATGGTGATAACACTGTTGCCGCTTAACATTTCTGACAAGTTTTATGTTAAGGAAGTTGCAGGTCTTACTGCCTTTAAAACCATACCAGGTACTCCAGAAATTGAAACCAGCAGGAGGCTTGTATTTGTGGCAAAGCTGTTTTTTGGTCAGAGGAGCGCAGAGCTATAGGAAACATATGAAGTATCATAACATAAGCACAGACTGAAAGCATTCTAGCATGTTCCCAAGCTTTAGATGTAGAAACTTTTCTGCAGGGCAAACCACATAACTTTTCTTGAATAGAATGGGTGAGAAAGACTTAGTTGTTTAAAAACAAGAATAAAGGAAAAGGTAGGGCAAGTATGTGGAGAGGCCAGTCTAATAGTAGTAACACCACCCCCAAAGCTACCCACCTTATGTTTTAGGGTTATTTCCAGTTGTTATTTCTAATTTCATTCAAATGTGTTGCTTGCTTTGAGCTA